TCTTTCATTTCTTGTCTTGTAGGAGTGTCCTGTTCGTGATTTGAACTTGCAATCTTTAAGTTCCCAGCGCACTGTCTTGTCCACTGTACCACGAGTATCTTCAGACAAGTGATAGGATTTAAGTCCTATTTATGGGAGTACTGTTCTCACTAGCATTCAAAAATCATGCTAACTGTACTGGATTCGAACCAGCAATCTCTCACATTGCCTACATTGTACATATCCACTGAACCATATAGGTAGTCATGAAAATGAATGATTTCTTTCTCATATTTAGCTTTATTGCAAATTAGTGTTTGCGAGAAAAGACTGGCAGGCATGGGAATTGAACTCGGGTCCTCCTGATCACTGTGTAGACAACTGACCCACAAGATCAGGATGGATTGACTAGTTGTGTATGCATTTGATGAGACTATATAGTGTGTATATATATAGAAATACAACATATTTCTATTATTTAGTTACAATTGTCCCAAAATTTGCCAATTTTGTGTTTTTACTTGTGTAAACTATATGCATGCCATAACCCGTTTGTGTACATCTTGCCAATTCGGTGTTTGCCATTTGCGTTGCCCATACCTGACCCCAGCCTAACCCTAATGCCAAGACATATTCCTGTTAATAATTGCTCAATAATGATACTCTGTTGTGTACTGTCTGCGGGTAAGTTGCATTGATGTCAACTGATTAAACAAGTCACGTTTAAGTAATTTCCACTATTAACAAGTGGTTAAATTGTGACAATAAATGTGTAGACATATATTTGAGACTTATTTTGGCGTAGACAACTCTCGTTTAATTATTTTACACAATTACAAGTTGTTAAATTGAGAGAATAAATGTGTGGCCAAATATTTGAGACTTATTTTTGTGTAGAAAACTCATTTAATAATTTTACACCATTACAAGTTGTTAAATTCAGAGAATAAATGTGTCGACAAATGATTTATACTTATTTAGGTGTAAGAACTCGTGGTTGACCAACTTCCACCATTGCAAGTTGTTAAAATAATGAAATAAATATACTGGTATCATTGGATATTTGATTAATTGTGAAACTTTCTAACAACATGTTAACTGCTGACTTCGAACCCTCAATCAACAATTCCGCAGACACAGTATAAATTCCACAACACCACAGAAGAAATTCGTCTGTTGCATGAATTGTTTTCCTATAGGGAACGCCATCGACACTTTAACAAAACTTACCTTGGACTTGGGTCTTGTTTATCTCTTGTCACAATCTGGAAACTGATGAACAAATTATGCGTCGTCCAGTTTAAGACGCAAGCTATTTTATTCATTCAGTTTTACATGGTGGAGTTTCGTGAGGTTTATTATTTTTTCGCGACGTTCTTTGTTTACTTGTTACAGTTTGAGGGATTTCATTTTATTTGATTTACGTTCTTACGGTAGCTCTGAGCGGGACTTGAATCCACTGTCTTTTCAAGCTAATTTTGTTTTACCTCGATGGCATGCTTGTGTACCACGCCACAACGTTGGTCGTTGAGTGGTGTTCATTTTTCTAAATACTCCAGTGTTTTTAACTTTTTCCCAACTTCACAAATCAAGTTGCGATGGACACCCCTGTCTATTAGCCTTAAAGATTGCGTACTTGGTAATCTGAACGTAACACATGGCCACTCTCCTGTTAGCGATTTGCATGTAGCTATTTTGCTGAGACCGTCTTATGGAAATGTTGGTGGTCGTTATACAAAGGTTCAAGTGTGGATAGGTCTACAATAGGGTGGTCGCTGGTTGCGTTGGACAGGTGTTCGCTATATCCAGTGTCTTTAATGTGTAAATTGCGAAGGGACTGTACTAAGGTGGTCGGTATGAGCAGGTGGTCGCTCTGCACAGGTGGTCGTTCACACAGGTTTGACTGTATAATAATTTTATTGTTCTTATACAGTACTGTTATATAACCTCTAATTTCCAAGGGCTATACATTTTTCACTGGGATTCACCTATAATGACCCAACAATCAGTTGATTTCAAATTTAAATTGTCAGTATTTTATTCATTAAGTAGAAATAATGCAATAATATAAAAATAAGACATGCATACACAAAGTCAGTATGTGCTGGTTGTCACATCAAACTCAACCTACCAGATACAGCTGGTAAATTACATGTTGGTGGCTTGGTGACATATGATGGACCATCCAACTATGTATATTGCAATTCAGTAGTTCAATAGTCATTATTCACTTTATTGTAGAAAAACCGTACCAACCAGAAGAGCCCAATCAATGGTGGAGACTGCTGATACCCCTGTTTTACTATAATGGAATATTCCATCTGTTCCCATCTATCATTGTACAGTGGTTGTTGGGTCGACCTATTGAACTCATGGCAGGGTGGGTCAGAACGTCATTAATCTACTTCCTCAGTGGAATAGGTGGTAATTTGGTAAGTCTATTTATATAGATTAATACCAACAAAATTTAGATGCAAGAGTTTGCGAAGTGTATTTTTCAATAATCTTTTATTTAATTCTGGACTAATTGCTTTAAATTTCCTATTGGCTACATAGAGGTCTTGATGATTTTTCAATAAAATGGGATACAAATTTCATGGCTGTCAATTTGTGAGATGACAAAAAGTTAATTTTGTGTATACAACTTGTATTGTGTTGAATAATTCACAACTTTTCAAATTTTAATCAGTTTGCATGCCACAATTTATGGTTTTCCAGACTAAATGTTTTTGATCTACCGGTAATAATACACTTAAATTTGTTGTATAATATAATTTGTATTATATGAGGAATTCAACCAGTTTATATAAAATAATGCAAAAATTGTGAAGTGCTGTGTTATATTCTTGTTTTTCTGAATGTAATAACTGTATCATTTCTCATGCAACAGGTGTCTGGTATACTGAGTCCATACTCGCCACAGGTTGGTCCATCGGGTGCACTGTGTGGATTACTGGCAATACATATAGTAGAATACTTCCAATCCTATCAGCTCATTGAAAGACCATGTCTACAATTTATTAAGTTACTTCTTGTAACTGTCCTTTTCTTCATGAGTGGCACATTACCATATGTGGACAACTTTGCGCACTTAGGGGGTTTTATCATCGGAATCTTAGCGGCAATTGTCTTTCTTCCATACATTGTGTTTGGTAAATGGGATGCAAATAGAAAACGATGTCTCCTTGCTGTATGTTTTCCCATTTTAATTGGAATGTTGATATTCTTGTTTTTTGTCTTCTTTGTCGTGCAGACTGTTGAGTTGTGTACTCATTGTAAGTATTTTAACTGTTTGCCGTACACATCGTCAATGTGTAATGATACATGGTATTACGACCAGTTACACCTGCACACTGTTGGACAATAATTTCCATATTTCTGTATAATAGTTTTGCACTAACCAATCACTTTATATGTTCCTTTGAGCAATGACTTGCTCAACCACAGTGCTCTTAAACTAAGACAGTAGTATACATTGTATTGTTGCCAACATTTACAGACACTTTTCCACATTGGACAAAACACAAATTTTGATGGTGCTGCTAAATAATCTGTATATTCGGCAGGTTAACATTTTATGAAGAACAAAGCAAATTCTGTAAAGAACTTCTTTGTTGAAGGTTAAAAAAATTGATGATGCATGAAAAGATCAAGTGAGACAATGTGTAGTGAGATATGTATATTTTAGCTTTTATTTCATTGGCAATCCAAATAACAAATGTACAAAAGAGATACAGGAATTAAGCATTTGTGAATAAACATGTTCATTCTATTCAATAAATAGTTGTCTATGTAAGTCATAATCAGGTAGGTTTCCTCATACATACAAGTGACTTTTACATGTGATGGATGGTTTGTTGAATCATGTCAGCAGCTTACAGGCTTGTTCTCAGTTTTTCAAAAAGTGACTCTTCTGAGTAACAGTTCTAAAATCCAGCAAAAAGTTTGAATTATAGCAAGTAGGTACTTGAGTACCAGGTATTATTTTATTTCAACATGGTTGATATATCTAATATTTGAAGGTATATTCTGATAAAAAATCTCCCAACACAGACCCCTGCAGAAGGTCTAAAAATAATAAACCTAACTAGACATAAAAACAAAATGACTACCTGCTTGGCCAGATGAGGAAAAACATGTCCCATGTCTGAATAATTTCAATCAAATTTTACAATGAAGTGCCTCATAAACAAATCAATATGTGCAATTTCAAAAGCAAAATAGCATATAATGCACCTTTTCTTTAAGTCCAACCATTTAGCGAATAAACAATTCTATGCATGAATAAAGATAATATTTTGAGATTTACAGTAACCCTATAAATGTACTTTAGATAATGAAATACATAATTGAACACAGTTATTAATTTGATATTGCCTTCACCCATCTACTGTAAAATACTAGATTTTAGTGAGAATTAATTTTGACAGGAAAGACTTTTTGGATGTATGGAAATTTAACTGTTGAATAATAAAGTTGAATGTAAAATATAGAGAAATAGGTATATTTCTTGATTTTATTTTCACTGAATCATCCCTTCAGCGAAAATAAATTCCAAGCGAAATTAAGTATTTTACAGTGCATCATTTTGACTGTGCTCTGTCACTTATGGTGTAGTGGTTATTGGATTGAAAAATAAATTGCTTAGCATATAAGGTTTCTTGCACATTAACACAGCTAGATGCCACCCCCACCCCACCCCCACCCCCGGAAAAAAAAAAACTCCAAGCAACATAACCTACCCTGTCGGTCACACCAATGCCAGTCATTGACCTTGAAAGAAAGTAACTTAAAGTACGAAGACAGTCTTTTGAACAGAAATCTTAAAGTTATAAGAGAAACAAACTGTACGCTGGCAAATCAATAAATATATGTTATTAACTAACAAAAGCAAAATGTGTTGGTCTAAAATTTCATTAACTACGACTAAAATGTGTTCAGTTGGAGCCTGTTGCTGTCATTATGTTGAAATAAAATGCATCATTCGCCAAAAAAAGTTGCATACACATCAAATAATGTAGTTGGTTTGAAAATAAAATTATGTTTTATTCTCGCATTAAAATTCTAACTTCATAGTATTAATAATGAAATGTTATATAAAATAAATTTCGGCAACTGTACAAACGGCAGGTTCATGAATCTATTTACAGACTCTACAATCACACTGGCTAGTCAATTACGTGACGCACTAAGAACTTCTCACTGCTTGGTGCACGCTTCACTTTTATCCATATATTCATTTCTTTGGTGCTTTATATCTTTCCCAGTGATGGTGATTGAGTTTGCTCAACTCTTCTAGTTGTGCGATGTCTTTTAAATACAATGAAAGTTTCAACAGTTCTTTGTCCTTTTGCCGATTTAAATGAGCTTGGCGGAATGGTCGTATCTATATAACAAAATGAAAGGAGTTGCTAAAAACTGATATCCCACACTGACTCAAGTCTCATTGCTATACCAAGGCTTTACGGTGACTCCGCTATACCAAGGCTTTACTCGACACTGACTCCGCTATACTCAGCCTCTACTCTACACTGACTCCGGTCTCATCGCTATACTCAACCTCTACTCTACTCTACTCTACTCTACTCTACTCTACTCTACTCTACTCTACTCTACACTGACTCCAGTCTCATTGCTATATCGTACTTATCTGGGTAAGAGCCCATGCCTGGGCAAACGCCCACCCCCCACTTTTGACACAATAAAGTAGTTGAGGTCATATTCGGGCACACGCCCAGGGGGTCTTTTTCAACACACAAAAAAATTATTTTCTATTCGTTGACTGTGGTTGTATTAACACTAACAGTTGACTTTCTTGTAGTCTGTCGTGATACTTATAAAAATTGTTAATTGCATAAAACAAGGGGTGAACGCAAAATAGCTGTGACAGCTTTCTGCCTTCAGGGCAGCATATTCTGAATCAAAACAGTCAGCTAGTCTATAAAATTATATATTAAAGCAGAAACGGTAGTTCTCTTTTTGAAATATGTTGTGGCCCTAAAAATGGCCGGCCGTTTGGGTTGTGCTTCCTTAGAAACGATTCAGGCAAATCGTATAAGGAGAGCCGCAAGTGTCGCACTCGTTCGGCTTTAGCGCCGTCGACAATGAAACCAATGTTGCAATATTATAGCAACCCATACCTGGGAGAGTGGTTGAAATCACGTTATTTTGGCTTTATAAAATATTTTGTAGCAGCTTGCGAATTAATAACTGGGATCAGCAATTTTGCAATGTCACGCCGAAGACTGCCAACTTTTTCCCATCTTTCATCACCATCATGAAAACATTCTTCTGTCGTTGGATAAAAAAAAAACTTCCTATTTCAAGTCCACCGCGATATCCATATGGTGAGACATTCCTACCGCCGGAACTTGCTTAATGACAACTTTCACCGTGATTAATAAGCGTCGAGTCTGATAAAAAAGCAATGTCACGATTTGATCTTTATGATGAAATA